TTGCTGGGATATGAACATATTTACCCAAAACCACAGACATTTGGATCAAGGACAGCCTCCTCACACGGGGCCCATCATGGGGATGCAATCAACATGAAGGCCTCTGGGGACTTGGAAATCAGCCGGGGAAGATAATTGCCTCGAGGGTGCTACGGCTGAAGCTCTCCCCACATTTTGCTGTAATAAGTTCTTTTTGTTGTTGTTGTGGTTGTGAAGTTCATCTGCTTTGGCCCCTTTGGGGCTGTAAAATTCAGTTGTGATTGGCACCAACTTTTTTTGAACTTAAGAAAACGTGAGGGAAAAGAAAAGAGTCAGATTTTCCCACTCCTTGGTCTCTGAGTTCCCAGTCTGCATGTGTTTGTGACTGCTCGAGATGCCCGGGGGGAGGAAAATAGGGCATGGCAGGTGGGGAGCACTTTGGTTGAGAATGATGGCTGGGACAGGTGCCGTGCACCAGAAGATGGTTGCTCCTGCGGTGATCCAGAGAGATGGGGATTGCCTTTTATCAAACTGCAGGCCACAAGACCCACTCACTGCCTACAGCAAGGCCAGGTACTCAGCTTGCAAAGGTTTCAAGTGGAGAGGACTTGCAATCCCCGGGACTTGGGAAGCTAAAGCAGGAGGATCACAAATTCAATCTGTCAAAAAAAAAAAAATAACTAAACTTGATGCCAAGGAGTAGCTTATCACAAGAGAGCCCAATGGCCTCAGTTCCCGGGTTTTTAGACCTTGTCTTCATTATTAAGCTCTCAAAGTCACGATTCTCTGTCAGAGTCTGTCCAATAAAGAGCTGTACACTTGTCTTGGCATCATAGTCACCAAGTAGTTTTTCAGCCCCCGTTCTGTGTGACTACAGGATGGACAGTGAATCACACAGTTGTTTCACCCCAAATTTTCATAGAGATTGCAGTCAAATAAACTCCTCTTTGGTTGAAGTTACTGTTTCCAACGGACAAACTATCTTCAATTTAATTATTGGCAGCAAGGCTGACTCAATCTTCACACTTCTGAGACTCTATTTGAGGGCACTGATTGCTCCCCAAACCCCCAAATAATCATCCTAGGCCACAACCTTTACGATGGCTGGAGATTTGTTCAGTTTTTCATCCTGGTAACTTTGGTGGCATACCAGGTAACATATACAATTCTGATGGTTACACTGGCAACTTCTATGGCTTAAACTATATATCCCATGGTTCACTGCTTCAGCTTCTCTCTGGTTCTCATGGGAAACTAACAAGCCCTTTATTGAAGTGCCCAGGGTCCAATCACATGGCTCTCTTCATTTGCATATATTGCTCTTTCCCAGAGCTTCTTGTGTCAAACCGAGGCCCACATGATCATCTCTAAAGGAGTACTACAATCGGACTATCTCTTCCTTGGCTTTGACCTCGACATTGCAGGAAATCCAGCAGACGATCTGTTGCTAGAAGTCTGGAGACCTTATCAGCCTTATCAGTAGTTTGTGTCTTCCTGCAAATCCAATTAGAACACTTAAAATTATTTTATTTAGGAGCCCAGAGAGATGGTTCGGTGGTTAAGATAACTAGTTGTTCTTCTAGAGGACCCGAGTTCAATCCCCAGTGCTCTAATGATGGCTCACAATCATCTGTAACTTGAGTTTCAAGGCCTCTGCAAGCACCAGGCATGAACATAATACACAGATATATGCAGACAAAACACCTATAGACATAAACATCCTGAAAGTAGTAGTATAAATTAGTTATATTTTCTAAACCCTAATTGTTTTGTATTTTGATTTTAACATATTGTGAAATAAACTCTTGTGAATAAAAGCCATGACTTTTAGAAACCACCACTGTTGATCCTGCTACACAAGGTAGAGAGGCTGATGACCGTTCTTGGTTCCTCTTGGTTGAGGAAGTGTTTCAAGTTCAAGCACTAGTCTTTAAAAAAGACTTTTTCAAAATGTTTTCTTCATACAATATGTTTGGATTATACGTTTCCCTCTCTCTCCCAACTCCTCCCATATCCTCCTCACCAAGCAAAGGTCCCCCTACCTCTCTCTTTAGAAAGCAAACAAATAAATACAAACAAAGAAACCACTCCCTCTCAATGGAAATTAAAAGAAGATAAATAAGATAAACAAACAAACAACAAACAAAAAGCCCAAACAAACCAACAGGAGACATAACGTCTTCAAACACATCACTAACTTCATTTTGTTCTGGCCATCTAGTACTTGGCCCGGGGCCTACCCATGTGTGATTAATATTCCCTGTGAAGCTCCAGTGGAGAAAACTAACTTTTCCCCTGTCAGCGGTTATCAGCTGTAGTTAGCTTCTTGGTCTGGGGTGGGAGCTCAAGTCCGCTTCCCCCTCCGAGTGCTAGGATGCTGTCTAGCAGCCTCCTTGCTTTCAAAAGGTGGCAATCTGGTTCCCACAGGAAAAGGAAGGAAGAACGTTCACACTGAGTTGCTGGAAGAAAAGGCAAAGGTGCAAAGGGAACCCTGGAGCTCGACAGCAGCAGGAATCTGTTACACGGCGGATGTCTTCACGGGCGAGAGGAGGGAACAGCTCCAGAAATGAAAGGCAGTATTTGTAAGGAAGGGTCCGCTGCTCAGAGGCTAACCTGTTAGAGCAGGCCCGTAAGCTTGAGAAGGGAAAGCTGAAGGGTTAACATCCATGTCCTTTGCCATAACCACTACTCACTGCTGCTTCCCTTAGGCTGGGCTCCTCCAGAAGTTAAGAGGCTAGCACTGCTCAGTGCTGTGACCCCTGCAGGTTATCTGTCTGGGTGCAGGTGAGAACAAGGCCTGGGGGTAATCAGGACTGGCATGGAAGTTTATCAACACAATAGTTACGACTTCATTGATAACTAATGTACAAGTAGGCATGACTGTAAGGGATAACTGCCATGGTACTTGGTATACACTTGGCCCTTTGAAAATGCTTATGTAGACTAACTCGTTGAATCTTCAGCAGACACAGGAGGTAACACAATCACGATCCTATTTAACTGACTCGGAAACCCGGGATCGTAGATCTCAAACACTAACTGTAAGTGAGAGTGTAAACTCAACCTGGTGTTTATTATTACAGATTCAGTATTTATTGTCCACCTTACCCCCAAATGATAATCACTGGTTTAGATCTTAAATCCGAGATAAAATAGGGGAGTGACTGAGGTGTGGGCTGGGATGCGAGCTATTTATTGTCATCAAGGTCAAGCAAACATCCTCCAGTTAAAAGATGTTAAAGTATAACCCCGGAGAAGAGAGGAAGAGGCGAGGGAGGGAGGAGGGGCTGCCAAGCCAATGGCACATAGAATACAGGCCAAATGTCTAATTATAGCTGACAAGGCTCTCATGATCTGGGCCTCTTTCCCTCTGCCCCCCACGGGGCACTGTGTCCCAGCCAAAGTCAACTTTGTTTAGTTCCCTAAATAGCCCGCAGGTCTTTGCCCCAGCTGCTGCTTCTGCCTGGAACACCTCACCCTGTTTTCTATTGCCCCTTCTTAACTCCTGCTTACCTAACAGGCAGGGCCCAGTGAGGGCCTTTCTTTCATCATTTCTCCCTCTCCTCCCTCTGATAGGTATTTATTTGACTGCCTGGTGTACACGGACACCATGATAGCTGGCCCTAGGCCTGCAGGGTTCTCTGAGGAAACTGCTCCTCCACATCCACGGGTAGGCTGGGTATTTTCCAGTGTGTTGGCATGACATTCTGGGCTTATCAGATGGCAGCTTTCTTACTCTGTGCCGTGGCACCCCGGATATGGGTCTGTCTCTGTTATATCACAGGCTCCACAGGACAGAAGTCTGTCTGACTGGGTGGGTATTAGATTTCCATGCTTCAATAACAAATTGCCTGACTCCGAGGTTTAAAATGACAGAAATTTACCGTCTGTGGTTACCTAGGTATATGTTTCACAGAAGTTCACTGGGCTAAAGTCAAGACACCCAGAGGCTCTTGGGAAAACCTATTTTCTTGGCTTTCCAACTATAGGCTACCCATAGTCTGTGGCCAAGAGCCCCGTCCTTCATCTGCAAAGGCATCTAAGGCGCATAGCAGTTGCTACAAGACATCACTATGATGTTGACTTTTGTCTCTATCTTACAGTTTGTAAAGGCCCTGATTATATTAGGCGGTCCTAGATAAGCCAGGTCAGTAAGAAGACTTTTAACTCTAGCCGGCACGCTAATTCCCTTTTGCTTACAGGTTCCAGGGATTAGGACTGAGATATCTTTGGAGGCCTCTCCTTCTTCCCACTATAGTGTGCTTCCTAAATGTAGGATATCCAGGAAAGACCAAATGTCTGAGTATGCGGCTAGAAATGTGAGTGGACGGAACACACAGAACCTCCAGGTATATGTTAATATGTGATGCATAAAACTGCTGTGTAGCTGGATATTGGGGTTGCAACAGGACTATGTGTGGGGGTGGAGTGGGGGGCTGAAATTACACACTGCCTGACCTCACTGATGGAGCGCTGGTATGTAGTGCATGCTGGGAGCTTAGGGATCATCAGAAACAGGAAATAGAAGCATGAAATCGATAACAGAGTTCTATTTTCCTGAAAGTACTATGAAGTATTTAGTTTATTTCCACTGTGGATACTCATGATTCTGGACCTGGATTTCTATCTTTTTTTTTTTTTTCGAGACAGGGTTTCTCCGTAGCTCTTTTGGTTCCTGTCCTGGAACTAGCTCTTGTAGACCAGGCTGGCCTCGAACTCACAGAGATCCGCCTGCCTCTGCCTCCCGAGTGCTGGGATTAAAGGCGTGCGCCACCACCGCCCGGCCTGGACCTGGATTTCTGCACTCTATCCTCACATGTGCCTGTAGCCACACTGAGAATGAAAACCCTGTCTTGACCTGGAACAGGCAGTTCTGAGGTTGACTTGGATGAGTCAGCACACAGCTCAGACACACGTGTGCTGCCAGCATTGAGAAATCAATCACTGCACAGCTCCCTGTTGTTACTCTGAGGGCAACAGCTCCTCACACAGATGCTTTGAATCCCTAGCCCACTTCTTACCTAATTTCACAGATCTAAGAACAGTAGAACCCTTAAGTCATGTCTCGCCTGACTTTCTTTTCACAGACAAGTTACTTCCCAGTGAGTGTAGATGCTGTCCAGTGAGTGCAGATCCTGAGGAAGAGGCTGAGAGAGACACTTAGGATACAGACTCCAGAACTGCAGGAAGTCTTCCATGGTCTCTCAGGAAGCCTGGAGGAAGAACACAGGATTTCTGGTTCAATTCTACATAAAGACAGATTCACTCTTCCAGAAAGCCCCACCTGCCTGTATCCTTGAAGAGTAACTACACTGTCTCCCAAGGGGAGGAAAAACACTACACAACTCCCCATCCGTCTTCAATTCATGCATCCCAGTCTTACTGTGGGTATGTGTGCTATCTTGGTATTGTTAGCTGTTGTGCTGAGCTGATTGTGTCAACTGACACAAACTAGAGTCATCTGAAAGGAGGAAATCCCATGAGAAAGTGTTTTCATAAGTGCAGGCTATAGGCAAGCCTGTAAGTATTGTCTTAATCTGTGGTGGATGTGGAACGCTCCCAGCACACTGTGAGTGGTGCCAGTTCTGGGCTGGTGGTACTGGGTACTATAAGAAAACAGGCTGAGCAAGAGATGGAAAGTACACCAGTAAGCAGCTCCCCTCCATGGCCTCTGCATCAGCTCACCAAACCTTCAGATTCTGCTCTACTAGGGTTCTTGCTGTGACTGCCTTCGGTGATGAACTGTTGTGTGATGGAAGTGTAGGCGAAATAAACCCTTTCCTCCCAAGTTGCTTTTGGTCATGGTGTTTCCTCACAGCAATAGTAACCTTAACTAAGACAGCAGTTGTCATGTATACATGCTGTGACAGAGGTAAAATACAGTAGGCGCTCCTTCCACTCATTCAGCCAATAGCCTTTAAAATACCAGCCCACTTGAGCATGGTCTCTTAACTATAAATGCAGCTGTAAAGCCTGTGCTCGCTCTTTTGCTTCTGGCTCTCACTTCTGGCTCTGCTAGACTCTGTTCCTGTTCCCTGTTTGTGTAGAGGACTCTGATCTAGGACAGTGATCTGTGAGTCTCCCCTAAATAAATAGTGCTTTATTATACATTATTCTGAACTAGTATGGGATTATTTTGTAACTTCTGCCATAATCTGGTGCCACACTTTTTGGGATTGGTCTGCCAGCTGTGTGGCACATTGGGCACTGACTCTCCTGCCCAAGGCTCTAGTTGGCCCTAAGACACAGGCTGCTGCTCAGTGCTCCCTGACTCATGACTCACATGCTACCTCTCTGTGTGTTGCACACCAGCCCACACACTGCTGCCTGAAATGCCCATGGTGTATACAGTCTGCAACTCACACTGACAGAAAACTTTGAGTTTTCTTTTTTTTTTCCCATGGACCCCAACTCTAGGAATTGTTTGATTGCCTTAATAACTGCTCTTAATTTGTTAAACAAAGCATATTTTTCAGTACCTAAGTAAGCAACACATGCTGTTCAGTGCGTTAGCGTCTCTCAGTCACATGGCTATAACTGCAATACCTGCTGGCTGATAACGATTATCACACCTATTCCAATTCATTGTAATTACTTCTCGACAGGTAAGATCTGAAAAACTACAAAAAATGACTGATAACATCCAGGAGTTCAATAATTATTTTGCTTGAACTATGGAAAATATTGTGCAAGACTTATGCTATTTTTCTTACCTTTATTTGAGTCTAGGAATTAACTTTGTTTTCAATATTATCTCATTAAAAATGGTCCAATATATGGAGAGGGATAATGTCAATTTGATAAAATTATCTGAAAGAATTTGTGCTGTTGAATCTAACTATTGAGATTTGTTGAAAAGTTATGATATGCCAAGGATGAGACATTATCTTTACTGGACAAGTTTCATACCTTAGAACAGAACACAAGACAGGAGATTCAGACTTCTAAGAAGGCAGTAGTAAAAGTATTTAAAAATATTGAGGAATTTATTGAAATTGATGAATATGGACAGAAATTAAAAGGACAGGATTTAGCCTCATGAGTATATGCCAGATCATTAGGATGACTTAGAGTTTCAACTGCAGATCTGGTAATTTCCTCAGAAAGACCATCTGGCACAAAGTACCCTAAGGTAGTCAAAGAATATTCATGGGAACCAATACGTATGAGTGATCTAAAAGACATAACAAGCAATAGTTTCTTATGGGCCACATTCACCTTTTGTCAGGGAAATGGTAAAAACATGGGCTTCAAGAACTAAGGCTACCCCACAAGATTAGCTTCAATTAATCAAAGTGGTCCTAGAAAATGGACCTCAGCTGCTTTGGAAGTGTTGCTGGAAAGAAGAAGCAAAAATTTTAGAGCAACAGGGGAAAGCAAAAGGATTTGAGATGTCCCAATATCAAATTTTTAGTGAGGAACATTACTCTGATCCTCAGGAATATTTGGCTCACTACGATGAACACACCTTGTTCTATGTAGTACAGCAGCTTTAAATGCTTGGGACAGGATTCAGGAACTAGGAAAGAGGACTGAGTCATATATTAGGGTTAAACGAAGCCAGAGAGAATCCTTTACTGACTTCGTACAAAGATTAACTAAGGCTGTACAATTAGGAGTGGCAGACCCTGAAGCTAGATGTACTAATTGAATCCTTGACTTTTGAAAATGTCAACTTAAAATGTAAGAAGATCCTTGGTTCTTTAACGGTTAGATCAGCACCCATAGATGAATGGATCTTGCATACAATGAATGTTGAAACATTTGACTATAGTACTGAAGCTTGGATAGGAGAAGCGATTGCCAGTGGTAAAAGGAGACACCAAAATGCCAAATGTTTTAAATGTGGAAGAATAGGGCATCAAGAAGGGACTGTAGACAACGAATTCCTGGGAATAATGTCTCCTCAAGGAATGGTAAGGAAAGTAGGACTCAGTCTTCTGGGAGGAGATGTGACAAAGGCTGACAATGAACTAATGAATGTAGGTTGACAAAAGACAGACAAGGCAACCTGATAGCACTGAGAAATTCCTTGGTGGGCCTCTCACAGGCTCCAATGTCAAACAAGGTCCAGTCATTCCCAGTCACTGTGGAGAACATGACTCACCAGGAAAATTAAACAATCCAGTGTCTACTGTAAAAAAAAAAAAAAACCATACTGTTCTGGATGATGAGATAGACTTGAAAGATGAGTTAAAAACTCCAATAGGAAATAAGAAATGTATATTTTGGCAGACATCTATAAATAATCAAAGACCAAGCTAAGAGTGCATATAAATGACATTGTAATTAAAGGATTACTAGACACAAGTGTGAATGTGACTATCATTACTCCAGAATCTTGGCATCCAGATTGGCCTTTTCAAGAGGCATATATTTAATTCCTAGGGTTTGGAACAACATCTCAAGGAAAACAAAGCATGAGATGGGTTGAATGCATATGGCCAGAAGGACAGAAAAGAAGGCTGAGGCCATATGTAGCTAGTACTGCAGTGAATTTATGGGGCCATGAACTATTGCAGCAATGGAAAATCCAGGTTAACATTCCTGCAGTCCCCAAAACTCATGTTTCTTGGAAGGATATTATAAAATATTATAAACAAAGGTCACCAGCCATTCAGGCTGTACAAGAACACAAAGCAACTAGCAAGCTGTCAGAAGTACTAACAGCCTTGTCTTTAAAATGGTTGACTGAGAAGCTCATATGGGTTTTAAAAAATGGCCTTTAATGAAAGACAAACTGCAGGCTTTGGAACAGCTGGTACAGGAGCAATTAGATGCTCAACATATGGAAGAATCAACAAGCCCTTGGAATTCTCCTGTATTTGTTGTTAAAAAGAAATCCAGAAAATGGAGAATGGTGACAGATCTAAGAGTTGTCAACAGGTTATCCAACCTATGGGCCCTTTACAGTCTGGAATTCCTCTGCCTTCTCTATTACCAAAAGGATGGCCTCTTATAGTTATTGATTTAAACGATTGTTTCTTCACTATACCTTTACAAGAAAAGGATCGAGAAAAATTTGCTTTCACAGTGCCTACTTATAATAATTCTCAGACTACTAGGAAATACCAGTGGACCATCTTCCCACGGGGAATGCTCAATAGTCCCAACCTGTGCCAATACTTTGTAAATCAGCCATTGGAAATAATACACGAGCAATTTCCTAAGTCTATAATTTACCATTACATAGACAACATTTTGTTATATGACTCAAATGCAGATACTTTAGAAAGATTGTTTGAAGAAGTAAAAAAATAAAAAAAAAGTTTTGTCTAAAAGGGGATTACAAATTTCTCTTGAAAAAATACAAAGAAGAGATTCTGTCAATTACCTACGTTACAAAATAGGTTTACAGAAAATTAAAACACAAAAGGCACAAATCAGGAGAAACTGATTGCAGACTCTTAAAAACTTTCAAAGATTATTAGGAAATATTTCCAGTCTATGACTGGCTGTTGGGATAATACCTGACCTAATAATTCATTTAAACAAAACCTTAGATGGTGACAAAGGCTTAAATAGTCCCAGAGAATTAACAGCTGAAGCAGAAAAAGAATTGATGGTCTATGAAAAGAAATTACAGAAGGCACATGTAGATAAAGTGAATCCAAATCTTAATTATATTCTAGTGATATTGCCTTCCAGAATTTCCCCTATAGCAATTTCAATGCAGAGGGAAGATATTATCTTCGAATGGATCTTTTTACCATATAAACCAAGTAAAAAAAATTAAAACTCATGTGGAAAAAAAATCTCTGAATAAATTATAAAAAGAAAACTGAGACTTTGGCAACTAGCAGGTATAGACACAGCAGAGATTATAGTGCTTTTTACTGCTGATGAAATTAAAAAATTATGGGAAGACAATGAACCATGGCAGAGACCTTTTGTTAATTTCTTGAGAGAAATTAATAGCTATTATTCCAAAAGTGATAGAATTAACCTATTAAAGATAACTACTTGGATTCTTTCCTGAAGTGTACATGATGCACCAATAACTGGAGCCCATACATTTTATACTAATGCAAATAAATCAGGAAAGGCAGGTTACAAATCAGAAGAATTAAATAAGGTGGAACAAAGCCCTTATAATTCTGTCCAGAAGGCAGAATTATTTGCTATTCTCATGGTACTAAGGGATTTTAAAGAACCTCTCAATATAATTACTGAATCACAATAGGCAGAAAGAGTTGTCTTGACTATTAAAACC